AACTGTGTACTCCTCATAGACCAGCAAGCAATTCTGAGATGGACCAAGCCTGAAACAGCAAGGTGAGCAGCACTAAAACAAAGCTACCTGAGCTTCTTTCTTTGTAATCTAGCACCAGTAAATACTTGTCGTTTATTCCTCCTGACTCCCTGAAACATTATATCCTTTGACCAATATCTGTCCATTTACCCAACCCTCCAGCCTCTGGTAACCACCATTCTGCTCTTTGCTTCTGTGAGTTCAATTGACTTAGATTTCATATGTAAGTAAACACATGCTGTACCTGTCTTTCTGTACCTGACTTATTTCACTTAGCATTATGTCCTCAGGTTTCATCCATGTTGTCACAATGACAGAATTTCATTGTGTATATAGGCTGCTTTTTATCCATTTGTCTGATGAATTCTTAGGTTGATCTAGATCTTAGCTACTATGAATAGTGAACATGCTCCTTATATGTTAAAGTGAATAATCCTTTAATACACATGAGAATGCAGATATCTCCTCAAAATACTGATTTCAAATCCTTTCGATATAGACCCAGAAGTGGGATTGATGGATCATATGGTAATTCTGTTTTTAGATTTTTTTCATAATGGCTGCATGAGTTTACATTCCCATCAATAGATTCAAGAGTAGCCTTTCTCCACATCATCACAAGCACTTAATTTTGTTTGTTTGTTTGTTTGGTGGTGCTGGGGGTCAGAAACTGGAGCTCCATGCATGCTAAGCAAGCACTCCACCACTGGGCTACATCCCCAGCCCCAAATTTTCACTTCTTGATAATAAACATCCTGATAGATGGAAGGTGGACTCACTGTTTTTTAAATTTGCATTTCCTTAATGACTAATGATGTTGAGGATTTTTTTCACATCTGTTGGCCCTTTGATTCTTTTGCTAAATGTCTATTCAAGTCCTTTGCCCATTTTTAAATCAGGTTATTTGTTTTCTTGCTATGAAACTGAGTTTCTTGCATATTTACATATTATAAAATGTATGGTTTAAAAATATTTTCCCCTAATCTAGCTTGCTCCTAACTGTTCTTTTCTTTACTATGCAGAACCTTTTTAGTTTGATGCAATCCCACCAATGGTCTATTTTTGTTTTTGTTGCCTGAGTTTCAGGGATCAAATCCAAAAACCTTGCCCAAACCAACATTGTATAATTTTTCCCCTATGTATTCTTCTTGTCATTTTATAGTTTCAGGGCTTATGCTTAAGTCTTTAATCAATTTTGAATTTATATTTTTATATGGTATGCAATAATGGTCCAATTTCATTCTTCTGCATGTGGATATCCAGGTTTCCCACTACCCTTTATTGGAGACACTATATTTTTTTCTATTGGACATTCATTTTTTGAAAATCAGTTGATGATAAAGGCATGAGTTCGATTTTGGCTTCTTTATTCTATTGCATTGATTAATGCACCTATTTTTGTGCCAGTACCTGTTTTGGTTACTGTAGCTTTGTAATACAGTTTGTAGTAAGGTAGTATTTTTTGTTCTTTTTGCTCAAGACTGCTTTGGGAATTAAGAATTCTTTTTAGCTCTATATAAATTTTAGGATTGTAAAAAAATTATATTAGAATTTTGGTAAGGAATGCATTGAATCTGCAGATCACTTTGGGGAGTATGGGCATATTAATAATAAGTCTCCAAATCCATAACATATAAAATATATTTATTTCTGTCCTTTCTCATTTTTTCATCAATGTTTTGTAGGGTTTTTTCAATTTTTTGGTTATAGACAGACACAATACCTTTATTTATTTATCTTTATGTGCTGCTGACGATCGAACCAAGGGCCTTACATATGCTAGGCGAGCACTCTAGTACTGAGCTACACCCCCAGTCTGGTTTTGTAGTTTTTATTGTAGAAATATTTTACCTTTTTGCTTAAACTTACTCCTATTTAAGTTTTTGTAACTATAATAAATGGGGTTCCTTTCTTGATTTTTTCTTTGAATACTTTGTTGTAAATATATAGAAACTATTAATTTTTGTGTATTGATTTTTTATATCCTGCAAATTTACTATATTTGTTTATTCATTCCAATAATTTTTTTTTGGTAGAGTCTTTAGGGTTTTGGATTTATAAGACCAAGTCATTAGCAAACAGCAACAATTTCACTTTTTCTTTTCCTATTTGAATGCCTTTTATTTATTTCTTTTGCCTAGTTACTCTGGCAAGAACTTTGCTATGGTTTGGATATAAAGTATCCCCAGAAGACTCACATGTTAGAGGCTTGATCACCAATGAAGCGATGTTCATAGTTAGGGATTTTAGGAAATGATTGGCTCATGAGGGCTTTTACTACATCAGTGGATTCATCCATTTGACAGGTTAATACTCTGAATGGACTATTGGGAGGTGATGGAAACTGCAGGAGGTAGGATCTAGGTAGAGAAAGTAAGGCATACCGTGAAGGGTATCCTTGTGTCAGCCCTTGCTCAGCCAACCATGAACTGAAATCTTTGAAGCCTTAAGCCAAAACATCTTTTCTATTTAAGTTTTTTTTTTAAATCAGATATTTGTCACAGTAATGAAAAGCTGACTAACACAGACTTCCAGCACTACATTGAACATAAGTGGTGAGCGTGAGCATCCTGGTCTTGTTCCTGATCTTAAATGAAAAGTTTTCAGCTTTTCACCATCAAGTCTGATGTGAGCTTTGACCTGGTTTCATGGGTCTTTATTGTATTAAGAGATATTCCTTCTACATTGTTTTAGTCAGCTTTTTCACTGCTTTGACTAAATGACCCAACCAGCACAACTGTAGAGGAGGAAAAGCTTATTTGAGAGTTTATTTGATTTCAGAGGTGTTATTTCATAGAAGGCTGGCTCCATTCCTTGGGACTCTAGGTGAGGCTGAGCGTCATGGCGTAAGAGTGTGGTAGAGGGAAACAGCTCACATGATGATCTGGAAGCAGAGAGAGAGGTCTCCACTTGCCAGACACAAATATATACACCAAAGCCACACCCTAATTCCCACCTCCTTCAGCCACACACTGCTACTTCAATTACCACTCAGTTAATCCCTATCAGGGGATTAAATCACTGATTTGTATAAGACTCTCACAACCCAATCATTTCTCCTCCAAACCTTCTTGCATTGTCTCACACATGAGCTTTTTGGGGACACCACATCTAAACCATAACAAGCACCTAATTTGCTAACTTTATCATGAAAATGTTTTGCCAAATTATTTTTCTGTGCCTAATGAGATAACTACATGGTGTTTGTCCTTCATTCTATTAATATGGTACATCTCATTTATAGATTTGCATGTTGAGCCATCCTTGCATCCCTCCAATAAATCCCACTTGATCAAAGTGAATGATCTTTTAAATGTGCTATTGAATTCAGTTGGCTAGTATTTTGGGGAGGACTATCTGAGATTCTTTTTATTTTATTTATTATTATTATGATGATGATGATGTGGTCTAACCATGTTTCTAAGTCTGATCTCAAACTCATAAGCTCAAGTGATCCTCCTACATAAACCTCTCCAGTAGCTGGGACTGTAGGTATATACTACTGTGCCCAGGTAACATTCTTAAATTCTACACAATACTTTCTCAGAAAGAAATAAAAAATTAATCAGCTATGAGCTACAGCAAACACATCTGAATGGTTCAAAAGGTCCGCAGGTTTCAGGATAATGATCAAACGTCCCATATTTTGCTATAACAAAAAAGAAACCATGTGTGTGTGTGTGCGTGTGTGTGTGTGTAGAGAGAGAGAGAGAGAGAGAGAGAGAGAAAGAGGGAGAGGGACAGGGAGAGGGAGAGGGAGAGGGAGGGATGGAGGGAGGGAGAGAGGGAGAGAGAGAGAGAGAGAGAGAGAGAGAGAGAGAGAGAGAGAGAGAGAATGTGTCATGGTAGACAGATGTTTTTCACTTGAAATTCCAGAAAGATATTGGCAGCTTACATCACTTTTGCTCATATCTCATGAGCTATAACTAGTCTTAAAAGCAGGCTCAGAAATGTGGTTTCTAGTCAAACCTCCATATGCTCAGCAAAAACCTGGGGTTTTTAATTCCAAAATAAAGGGGATGCAAATAGACATTGAGAGACAGTTCAGTCTGTGTTTGATCCCACCCCTGTGTCTTTGTATGCACTGCTTCCCTTGCTCAGAATGTCCCTATCCTGGATAATTTCCTATGTCCTTAGGACTTAGTCCCAACATCACCTTCTCTGGAACATAAGTCCTTGTTCTCAGAGCATCTGTATTTCTTCCTCAGCCCCACCACTTACCCATTTTTTATTTCAATTGTCTGTCTATTTATTATCTAATTATCTTTCCTAACAGACCATGCATTCATAAGAACAGGGACTACATCTTATCTTTTTACATCTACAGAGTCTAACTAGTTCATGGTTTCTGTTGAACAGCTAGGTAAAGAAGAAATAAAATATGACAAGAGCAGACATTATCTGAAAACTCTAGACAGAGTTCTATTGCAGCTAACCCAGAAATTAGCTGTGTTATTTCTTAAAAGAAATTCTTTTATACAAGTTTCTGGTCTTGTCATATTCCATATTAATTCTGATGTTTTTGAAAAAAAATGTTTTTCCCAAAATAATATTGGAAAAATCACAAGTGGCAAAGAATGAGCATTTAGATTAATCAAGAAGTAAGTTGTTTGGAATTTGGAACAAATTTTCCATAAAAATATACATAGTGGTTGAGAATCCAAGCAGTCAACTAAAGAAACAAATATTAAATCATAAGAAACCAAACTCAGGATCTTTCAGTATTATAGATTCTACCCCATGCAAAATAAGGGCGATTCTCTGGAGAACTCTGAGCTCTTGTTTTTCCCCACACTAAAGTCCACCCTTCAGATCAAGCTTACCCCTCACTCCCTAACTTCATAGTAAAATGTCTTAAAAGAAAAATGTCTAAATAGTCTGTCTCCATGGACTATTTATATTCATATCTTCCAGCCCTCTTCTCCTATTCTCTTTTGAATAACTTTAGCCAGGCCACTTACCAAGACCTTGATTGTGACTTCAATCTCCAAATCCATGTTTCCATCTCTGTGGGCTTCAGGTGCCTTTGACAGGATTAAATATCTCCAAAACTCCAGAGTCTGGGGATATCTTTACTTAGGGTCCACCATAAATAGACCCTGAGAAAAGGATTTTAGTGCAAGTGATGTATTTGAGAGACGTGGGGAACATACGTACAGAAGTAGAAAGTTATACAGGAAAGAAAAAGCAGTCAATATAGGGCGAGCTATTAAACCAGATACCATGGAGGGCAACTATCTGAAGCTTCCATAGAGAAACTCTAGAACTACAGTTTAAAAATGCTTTTGAATAATCCTACCCAAGGAGCAGGGAAATCAGGGTGTCTACGAACCAACTCCTAATGTTACTAGGGAGAAGACTATGCAGCAGGAGGCACAGATACAGGTACTCAGCATCTGGGGGTTATTGGGCATACCAGTGCCAGGAAATGTCCAACACCAAGGAAAAGAAGAAAGGAAATAGCATCCCATATTATATCCTTATGGCATTCAAGACAAAGGGAAGTGACCTCATTTCAATAAAACAAAAATAAAAATCCTTTAAAACTTCATTGAGCAATCTGAAGGCCCATCTCCTGAGTTCACCAGCCTGATCGAAATTTGTTCTGTGTCCAGTTCTCTCCTGACCTGCACTGTTGTCAAATGAGTTTGAAGTAAGGGGATTAGACCTTTTAAATTAAGAACACAAGCCTACAGTAAGAGTAAACTTTGGTTTAAAATAACACCTAAATGGTCAACGAGAATCAGGTTTTCTCTTTTTCTTTTGTAAAAGTACTTCTAATTCCATGCTTTCCTGGTAGCAGCTGACACCCTCCAGAAAGCTGAGATGCCATCTCATTAAAGGGTTCAAGTATTAGAGGATCACTTACCTCCCGTCCTTTTGCAACATCAGTAAAATCAATCTGTGCTGTTCAAATTGGGATCTCATATTACATGGCACAGCAGCATTCAGGGCAATGTAGGAAAAACACCAACGCTGTAGAGCAGAGGGAATACTATAGTGTGGCATATTGTAACAGGAAGGCTTGGGGGTGGGTAGATCCCCACCTTGGGTAACTCAAGCCCCCCATAGTGTCTCAGAGACATGGAGCCTGGTCTGGTTTTTCCATACCATCTGCCCTGCCTGGGCCCTCAGCTGTTGGTACTTCTCTCTGTTTCACCAACAAGGATAAGATCATTATTCCTATCCAAACTAACAACCTGGTAGGCTTTTTTGCTAAAAAAAAAAAAAAAAAACCTAACTTCACTGTGAACTAAACTGAAGAACTGCTGAACAAAGTTTTCCAGATTTGAAGAAAACCACTTTCTAAGGGAGAATCTCCACATGATGAGTCACATGGGCTGGAAAGTATTGAGAAATCAGGTCTTTATCAAGCGTAAATTTGGGGATATGTCCAGAATAGAAAACATCCAAGAGAGGAAAAAAGTACATGAATTTCTATGACATGAGTGACAATGCAAGAATTTCGCATTAAATGAAACCTTAAATACTTGTTTGATAGCAAGCAACTTAAGGTAATTTTTGGATTGACTCATTTTGTTCTTAAAGAATTATTTTACATAGCTAAACCAAAAAGTTTTCTTCTCTATTGTTAGAACAAATAAAGACATACGGTTTCCCTCCTGACATACAAAACACCTGCTCTTTGTATGTACTCTTTTCATGTACTACCTTCATACTCTCACAGTATGTGGCTTTTTACTGATCCAATGCCATTATGGTCTTTTCAAACTGCATTAAACTACATATCATAAAGTTCACTGATTTTAAGAGTACACTTGAAGGATTTTTTTCAGTAAATTCGCCACATTGTGCAACCATCACCATAATTCAGTTTTAGAAAACTTTGCTAACCACAATGAGATCCCTCATGCCCATTTGCAGTTAATTCCCATTTCTACCTCCAGGCCCAAAAGCTATAGACCCAGCCAAGCATGGACTAAAACCTCTGAAACAATGAGCCAAAATAAACTTCTTTTTCTTTAAAACTTGATTATATCTAATATTTATCACAGCGACAAAAAACTAACACAGGAATCATATGATATGTGGTCTTTTGCATCTGTCTTCTATCAGTTAGCATAATGTTTCTCAAGTTCATCCAGGTTGTAACATGTATCACCAGCCCATTCCTTTTTATTGTGCGACAGTCTTCCATTGTATAAATATATTACATTTATTAAATTGGTTCACCAATTGATAAATTTTGGATTGCTCAATGTTTTTGGATATTATGAATATATTGCTATGAACACCCATATGGAAGTCTTCATAAATAGTACTGCTATAATAGTTATTAATAATGTATTGTAAACCTGAAATTTTCTAAGAAAATAGATTTTGAGTATTCTCACAAATAAAAGATAAGGACAGGAGGCATTATGAATTAGCTTGATTTAGACATTCCACAACATACATGTATTTAGAAAAATCATATTGTACACCATAAATAAATTTATTTTTTGGCAATCAATGAAAAGCTAAATAAATAGAAAGAAACTAATAATATTATGAACACTCACATGCAAGACTTCATGTGGACATACGTTCTTATTTCTCTTCAACTCATTTTTAAACAGAGAAAATGAAGCAATCAACATACAGTTAAAAGAACCTTTTTGTTCCAACAAAGAATAAGTTTACATGATCTTTTCAATAGCTTCAGAAAAATTCTGCACTTCATTTTAAAAAGAAAACTTTTATATAAGAAATAATGTGGACATCAAGGGATTCCAGGAGGATGGCAGAATAGAAAGTATCAGAATTCTGTTTCTTCACCTAGACAACAATTCAATGGCAGAGTCTGTCCATTGTAATTATGTTGGAACCATGGAGTCTATTAAAGGCTTACAATTTCCAGGAGAAGATATGGAGAGTAAATTGCAGTTAATTTCAGTCAATTTCGCTGGCTACTCAGCTCCCCTCCACCTCCATATCAGGTTAGGGTTGCTCCTGTTAATGGAGCATCTTGAATGCAATTTGTGGGAGCTGGGGTGCCCCCAAAAAGCAGAATATCTTTCAAATATTGAGAATATCTGATTACTGATTGCTGCTTCTGATCACACATATGCCAAGAGACTGGTAGCCATTGTTGTTGAACAATCTCACATTATTGCAAGCCCCCTTTCCTGACCCCACCCTCCATGCCCCACAGCTGTGGGGATTTAGAATCAGTGCCCTTTTTCACTCCACCTTCATTTTTCTCTTTTTGCCCTTTTAGAGACAAAGCATTAGAGACAAGGACATTAAAAAGCAATTGCTTGGGGCCAGGACTGTGGCTCAGTGATAGCGCACTTGCCTAGCATGTGTGGAGCATTGGCTTCAAGTCTCAGCACCATATATAAATAAATTTTTTTAAAAAATAAAGGTCTATCAACAACTAAAATATATATATATATATATATATATATATATATATACACACATATATATATATGTATATATATGTATATACACACACACACACATATATGTATATATGTATATATCAATTGCTTACATAGGGAAAACTTGAAAGAGACAATACACACCCAAGGAAGGGCACAGGCTCACCAAAAAAAATTTTCGACAAGACGTTAAGTTTATACCTCTGAATGATTCTTGCCATAGAAACAGCCTACAACAATAAAAATAAAATAAAATCAATAAGCCAAAATAATAACAAAAAATAGCAAACTCTGAATAAGAAAGAAAAATCTAATTTTTTAGAGTTGCCAGATTATTAGATTCAAATGTTCAGTTTTCATCAGAAAACACAAAATATTCAAAGAAACATGAAAATATGAACAATTCAAAGGGGTAAAAATGAATCAACAGAAACTCTCCCTGAAAAAGACCTAAAGACAGATCTACTAAACAAAAATTTTAAACAAACTGTCTTAAAGATGGTCAAAGAACTAAAAGACGGTATAGAGAAAGTTTAAAAAAATGTATTAATACAGTAGAAATATTAATAAAGAGATAGAAAGCCTAAAAAAAACCAAAACAGAATTCTGTAGTGAAAAGCACATAACCAAAATGTAAAATTCACTAGATAAATTCAGAGACAGATTTGGGTAGGCAAAAGAATCAGAGAACTGGAAGACAGGACAATGAAAATTATTGAGCGTGAGGGAAATTAAAAAAAAAAAAAAGTGAGACCTATGGGACACCATCAAGTGGGCCAACATACTCATTGATTGGGGATCCCAGCAAGATTTGACAAAGAGAAATGGGAAGAGAGAACATTTGAAGAAAGAAAAGCTAAAAACTTCCCAAATTCGATGAAAGACATGAACATGAACACTCAAGAAGCTCAATGAACTCTCAATAAAATACACTCAAAGAGATCTATGCTAAGATATATTATAATCAAACTCTTGAAAGCCAAGAAAGAATTTTAAAAGCAGCAATAGAAGAGGGATTCATCACAACAAGGAATTCTCAATAAGATTTTCAGAAACTTTAAAGTCAAGAAGGTAATGGGTTGATATATTCAAAATGCTAAAAGAAAAAAAATTGTCAACAAAGAATTGTATATATGAGAAAATTGTACTTCAAAATGAAGGGGAAAATTAAGACATCCCTAGATAAACAAAACCTGAGGAGTTTGTTACCACTGGATCTACACTGCAAAAAAACACTTAAGGGAATTCTTCAGGTTGAAACAATGGGACAGTAGAGAGAAACTTGAAGCCATGCGAAGAAATGAAGATATCAACAAAGGTAAATCCATGAGCAAATATAAAAGTCAATATTATTGTGACAATGGTTTCCAACTTCAGTGTTTTTCTGCATAATTTAAAAGACATCTTTTAAAAATGATTGTCAGTCTAAATCTAGCATTATTTAACTTTGGTTGATAATTTCACATATTGTTTTCTGCACAATTTAAGAGACTAATGCATTTGAAATAATCATCATTTTATATTTATGAATACAAATGTACAAAGATTTTATGTTATCAACAACTGAAAAAGTGGGAGCTGTGTTGTAAGGAGAAATTTTGTTAGTTATTGAAGATAAGCTGGGATATACTCAAATAAAATTGTTATAACTTTAGTTTGTTTAATAGTCATATTTTTGTCACTGTAATAAAATACCTGACACAAACTACATATGAAGTAAAGAGTCTAATTATTGCTGTATGTATATAAGTGACTG